CGGCATAATGAGAGGATGGGCCCACCACCTCCTTCTCTATTGACAGAAGGGAATCGATCGTGAGCAGGCCGGCGGGAGGCGGTCGCGGATCGGCTGCTGGTGGTGTTGGGGACCCGGATGTATATGAGATTAAGATTCTGGTTCCTGATGCTGAGACTCGGAAGATCATTGGATATCGCGGGGAAACTGTAGACAGATTGGAGAGTCATAACAGGATAAAAATAGTGTCTGCGACGAGTGGGAACTTCTTTCCGGGGAGTCAGAAGCAAGAGCGTAAGCGAAAGGTCGTGGGTTCGATCCCTGGCGAGGGCAGCGATGTATTTTATTTTCACTGATGGGATAATTGAGTGCTCGCCTGTTATAGGAGCTGTTCGGCTCATCGGACGGTACCGCGATGTCTTACGAGGATTGATCGAAATAGTGGAGATGACTGAGGACCCGAACGACCCACAAGTTTATGTAGTGATAGGCGATCGAAGAGAAAGCAGCGACTGACCGATGATTAATATTCAATTGCTCAATGGGGAGTGCTTGCTGCTGCTGCTCAGTTTGTGGTCCCTCAACGGTGCGTGCCGGCCATAATAGGAACAAAGGGAGCTAGAGTTCGCGATATTAATGATCGTTATGATACTAAAATAGAAGTGAGTAGTAGCAGCAATGGATGGAATTTTGTGGCGCAGTGACGGTGTCTTAGGTGTTCACCGATCAGGAGTACCGCTGTGCTTTTGCCACTGATGAGAGTGTGGCTAAATGCGCTCTGTGGAAGGAGCGAATGCCGCTGAGTAAATCTATTATTTATTATTAACTTCTTTATTCACTTCTTACAGACACTCGACTGAGCAACCAAGAGAAAGTAGCAGAGGCGGCTATGGAAGCTGTGCATGCGATGGTACATGCACATTATGGTAATAAGTTCTCTTCACTGGTAATTTTCAGCGCTATTATCATTGGCTCAGATAGTGGGCCGTTCAGCTACAATCAGTGTGTGAATTATGAGGCATCAGGCCAACAGCGGGAGGGGGTTCCGTATAGGTCTGGGAAGGGCGAAGGCTCCCGAGGGGCTCCATCGACCCCGAGGGGCGTATATAGTGGAGGTGTCCATGCGGCTCCTTAGTACGGTGATGACGGTCCTTGATGGTTTTTATGATTTCTTTGTCAGTTACGCCTCCCCATACGCTCCACGTAGTCCATCGTCATCTTGGAATCGGGAGAGTAGTTGGCGTGGTCGTCGGAGCAGCGGTGGCAGTAGCAACAATGCATGGGATACATGGTCTGAGGAGCACAAGGGCGGTGCTGGTGGTGGCAGTCAGCAGTGGGGAGGGGGGCGTGGCGAGCCTTGGTCGGCTGGTCGTCATGGCAGGATAACACAGCGGGAGTCTGTTGACGAGGATCGTAATAGGGAGCGTTGCACGCACGCGCATGAGCAGTGTTCGCTTTCCTCGGCTGGGCTCTGGAGTTTCCTCAGTGATTATGGAAATTCTGGTAGAATTTCACAGAAGCTAACAGGAAATCCACCAAATTTTCCTCAGAATTTTCATATTATCACCGACGAATTTAGTTGACCATGATAAAAATATTCCCACATTCTGTGTAGGTACTATACGGGAACATTTGAAATTCCGATCGAGGAAGCCCGTCGATGAAACACTGGCAGTAGCAGCAAGGATAGTGAGGGATAACGAGAATGTAAGTGAACAGTATCTATGAGGACGCAGCGTGGTCCACTACATGCGCTGATAATAATGGGAAAATTCTGAAGAAATTTTTTGGGAATTATTGTTGGTTTCTCTACTTGGATTCTTATGTATTCTTGTATAACAAGTGAGGAAACTCCTGAGGTCAGAAGATGAGGAAAGCTAACACATATTTCAACACTGTGATTGGTGTGAAAATTGTGAGGAAGTTTTGGAGAATCATTGCTGGTTTCTGTACACTTCCGCTCGAATTCGTATATACACTTTTATAACGAGTGAGGAATCTCCTGAGTTCAGCTGGGGGAAGCGAACATATATTCCTCCAACACTGTGATTATGGGCTCCCTCCGATATGCAGATGATGTCCATACAAAGTACAGTAGTTATCCCTGACATACCGAGCCACGCAGCTGCCCTTATCATTGGCAGTCAAGGAGCGATGGTAAGGGTGTAGTATTTTTATGCAACCGACACGTTATCATTTAGATTCGCGAGTTGAAGGACTCCAGTGGTGCTAATGTAGTGGTAAAGGATCGAGGGGTGAGTCGGCCCCATAGGACGCGTGCTCATGGTCGCTATTAGGATGGCCGACGTAACGTATTGATTTCTGGTCATTTATCGGCGGTTCATGGAGCGATGCTAGCCGTGTGCGAGCTGATACGTTTGGCTGAGGAGAAGAGGAATGTGAGGCGATTTGGGAGAGGTGTGGTATGGGAAGCTCATGTGTGTAGATTCCTGGGGCTATATCACAACGGGGAGGAATGCGGAGCCTCGTGGCTAAAATGGTGGGGGAAATCTCCAAGGGCTCGATCTGGTTCATTTTCGGTTTTAGCTCGCACTTAATCAGCCTGGTCGGGAACTGAGAAAAGAAGAGGAAGCTGTAGAAATGGGTATACGGGGTTAGTCCGAAACTGATTGTCAGGAGCGATCTCCTGGTATAGATGAGGACAACGTTAAACCGTCGAAGCGAGCTCGGTTGGTGGAGGTGGAGGAGGAGCCACTGTCAGCAGAACGGCAGGAGGAAGAGGAGGAGGAGGAGGATTTGGTAAGACGTGTGTGTAGGGAATCGAATTCAACCGTTACTGTCATTTCGGGTTAGTATGTATTGGTTATGTAATTATATATACTATAGGTCCATCCCTTGTAATGTCGCGGTGTGTGACAGCTGATGAACTGAATAGTTGTTGAAAGCTCTGATCGAGTTCTTCCCAATGCCTTGTGTGAATGGTTCTGATATTCGAATTTTTCACTGAATCATCATCAAACGCAAAATCGGCTACATAAAATGTCGTACCGGTTTTGACTCGGTATTCACGAAAGATGTTCAAAGTAACTCCCGTCAAGTTCGGTGGTCAACTTCAGCTTTCGTCGGCTGAAGATTCACTATTGTGTATAGTGGTATAGCAAGTAGATACAAGCATCTATTTATGTACTATAGAGAATAACAATCAACATATGTTCATGTAGGTGGTCGGCGGCGGAGGTGGTGTCGTGGCTAGTCAACCCCAGAGTGAACGTACCAGTGAGGAAGCTGAGCTGGTCGAAGTGTGTTCTCCACCGTCATCACCGAGAGGAGATTATGAACAGTGAATATAACGTAGAGTGTTCTGCTAACAGCTATTGTTCGTCACTTGCCTCAAGCATCGTGTTGGTCAGTGAGTGCAGGGTTAAGGGGGGATTAGTGACCATTTGGAGCAACCGTCTGTATTTGGCGAAAGCTGATGACAACTCAATCGTTTGCTTCTTGAGTGCTGTACTTGTCGTATGTCAGCGTATAGGTTGGAGGATTAGATATTCTCAGAGAAAATTCTCATCTGTGCAAACGAAGGCCCAATCGCAGCTTCCCACCCAAAACTCGTTAACTCAACTCGTCCCGCCCTGCCGACTTCATCTGTGGCCATCGGACAGCCATCCTCACACAGCTGAGGATTGGACGTCAAGATGCAGACAATCAGAAGCTACCGGGTGGCTGAGGGTGGGCGAAATGAGCCAGCACGCTCACGAGCAACTGACAACTGATGAAGCAGAGTGTCAGTAAGCTTCACAATAACCGTTAGGAGCAGAAGCAACAACATCCAATGAAATACACAGGCTGGAGTGTAGCTCAGAGTAGCTAGCTTCGCAGGCGAGCCCGTCGCGGGCCAGTGTTTGCACCACTTTGTACTCCACAAGTTTCGTGTATGGTAACAAACAAAAACACGATTCATTGGTGAATGGACTGTCTGTTAAGTTCTTGGCGCACTACGAACAGTATGATGGGTTTTGGAACGCCCGAAGGTCCTCTTCCCAACTGCTATGTAGGGGCAAAGAAGACTGTGGTTGTGCAAGGGTGGAAGCAGCCTATCACAATGAGCAACGGGAGTGGTAGATAATAGTAGATAATGTGTGTTCCTTCAGAAGCGGTATAGAAGTCTGAAGCCATAGGTCGCCGCTGCCTCAATGGCTATTTAGGGGTTCACTTCCCACCAAGAAAACGACTGAGTTGGAATAGCGAAGGCGTCGTCGTGGAAGCCGCTTCTGTTGCTGGAAAGCCATGTGCGCGGGAAGCCATCACTCTGGATGATGATACAGAAGGCTCTTTATGCCTATTTGAATGCGTCTTTTCGTACCAAACTAGCTCACCGGAGGAGAGAACTTGTGTTGAGAGTACGGGGAGGAAACTTCTTAGAGCGCTAATACGCGTGGCAATTGAAAAAGACTTCAATATCAACAACAACAGTGCATTCATAACGAGTGACAATTTCATCAATCAAACTGATTAATCAGCGTGAGCACACCTTGAAGATTATGCAGATGTCACCGGCTTAAACTTATGATCCATCAACTCATTTACTTTTCTACTATCAAGGGTCTGCAGCTACTGGTCGTGCCCCCTTAGAACACAACCAAACTCGTTCATCATGAATAACACTAGGTTCATGGTTCAGACAAGACACTCTATTTCTTCTTCTTGCCACCTTTCTTGCTCTACGGAATCAACACCTCAGCCTCCAGCGATGACCAGAAGCCGCGCTCACCTTCTTCCTCATCGCCTTACGTATTTTCTGATAATCTTCTCGTTGTAATACTCCTTGCCAATAAGACTGCAGCGTTGAAGCTGCATCGTCTCGTCGATTAGCCTCAGCACGAAGGCGACTCCTTCTGGCCTCGTCGACGAGATTCTCCTCCTCTATACGCCTATTCTCAGCGTTCACCTACGGATGTTCATCTGAAATATTCATTTGCTTTTCCCACGAAGTGGAAGTGGTCCGTCAATTGGCGGAGTTTCTCCTTCTCCTTAGAAATCTCGTCGTTAAGCTTCCTACGTTCTTTATCCAACTCCTCCATCTGAGCGGCATTCTCATTAGTTCCTATCTTTTCTTGGACTCACCCGAGAATCGTAGTTCTTGGCCGTCTTATTGAGGTCAGTTTCTCGTCGATGCTTTTGCTTTCGCAGAGCTTCTTCTCGGTCCCTATTGGAACTCCTCAGAGCCTACCATAACGCATCCAAATCGCAGAATGTTCAATCCTGACCGTATATGATTTGTTGGTCGAGTCCAGCTCCTTCTTGAGACTAGCCTCCTGAGCCTCCCACTCATCCACCATCGTTTGCATTTGTCCACCATATTTCTCACCTAACACATTCAAGCTCGCTGCAACTTCCATCACTGCATTTTGAAACACACGCATTCGGGTAAAACAATAAAAATTTCGTAAAATTTCCTCAGAATTTACATATTTTCCCACGCTGAGTTACCAAGTTGCCTCAACTTCAGCTGAGTAGAATCCCTGACGTCCAGTAGATCGGCTCGCAATTTGGTCACTAGTTCCGTGCGAGCCGCATGCGCCTTCTCCCTTTCATATCTCACCTATGAACAACTTCATTGACCGCAAACTTCACTGAATGACTTCACTTGGCTGAGTTGATTCTCCAACTTCGCCTTGCGTTCAATTGCCTGTTTTTCCCGTAGGAGGTAATGCGCTATCAAATCTTGTCTGGAGCGCTCTTCCTCGACTGTAGTTGTCATTCGTTTCAGTACAATATCCTGAGGCACGCACGAGTCAAGATATATAATGCACATCGTGGAACACTTCGCTTCGCTTTGCTCGAGACGAGACGATTCCAACATGAAATCTATGGATTTGAGACGTGACCTTTCTCACGTGTTGAGCCCTATGCCTACTAACCCTGCCGACTGGCATAACATTATGTAACGAAAACTGGGCGGAGCGATTACTTGCATCTCGGCGAGAGTTCGTAGGAGCTGCAGCAACCCTACAGATCTCTGAGATGAATCTTGGAATCGACGTAGGTGCGTAACGATGTTGGGAATTTTCTTCATACGTCTGAGTCCGAGAATACGCAGAAAGTGACGCCATCAATGCACAGACCGGCACAATTCTGAAGTGCTCTTCTTCAACTTTTCTGTGGTTTCTATCACATCGTCATTATCTTCTTGAACCGCGAAAGTGCCTGCGATATTTTCCATGGCTCATTTACAATAAGTCAGGTATAATTCGAAATTCGAGCTATACTTGACTTATTGTGATCGAGAGAGTTCATACTCGACACTCGAATATATACTCTCTCAAGCCCTACCATCACTGTTGGTGTTGAGCATGACGTACAGGTCCTCCAGCCTCATCTGGATGCATACGCTTTCATATACTCACTAACACGGTGGCCACCACCTGTTCAGCGAACCTCCCAACAAAATCTTGCCCTAGTTGCTCGGCAACCTCAGCTCCTCCTTCTCCCTGTAGACCATCCAATACCTAATAGGC